TGTTTTGCTCTACCCAGCCATGGATAATCTTCATAGTAATTGCCACACTTCCTTTTGTCTCTTAGAGTTAATTTTTCTAGTTTGTGGAGATAACTTATAATTTGACTTATAATTAGGATGGCCAGACAAATAAGATTTTATAAAGGAATGTGTGATGGTTTTGTAAAGTTAAATCAGACATGGAGGAGAGTTCGGGGCAGGACTTCATCCTGTCCCTAGGGTGTTTCTTAACAATGGTTTTTTCAATATTGTTTTAGCATCTGCCTCACACATTCTAACTTTCAGATCTGTGAGGCTGGGAAGTTGTATGTAATTTGTATTTTATTTTCTGTATTTTATTTTTAAAATCTGTGTGAGCTCTTGAACTGTCTCAGCCATGAATTCTGGCCCAGTGTCTTATCCCACATTGAGGGCCAGTTCAAATCTTGGGATGACAGCCTTTACCGCTACCATTGTCAGTTTTAGTGCCTTTTCTGTCTGAGTTGGAGGCTTTGGCCTATTAGCGTCAACATACATTTAATACTGTCCCCCTTAGGGCAGTTCAGTGAGGTTCACAAGGAAGTTCACACAGGGTGACACCATCTAGGATAAACTGGGACCTGTCCACCCCTTATTTTTCAGTGTTTTGTGCACAGCTTAGACAAGCAATGTAACAGCTCCAGTCACTGGAGTGAGCCATGTCACACAAATGTGATGATTCAGTGATGTGTCTCATGTGGTTTTCTGCATGTGAGACACCCCTCAGAAACCTCGGGGCTATCATTTGGGGTATAGCGTGTCTCCTGTCAGAGAGTCTCCACATCCTTGCTTGATCAAAGTCTCATGTTCCTGGGTGAACTGTTTCTTTTTAAGTGAAGTACAACTTGAGTTCTCTTGGAGTGGGGCTTCTGGGGTGAGGGGTAGTGTGAGGACCCCATTTTTGCCTTTTGAAGCCAGCATAATACCCCATTTTGTTTCCCTGTGTGCTTTTTGGTTTTCTTAGGCCTCCATCATACCAGCCTGTGGATGTCCCCTGCATGTACAACAGCTAGTTCTATGGGCGTTCACATAGCATTGAGGAGCTATAACATTTTCTCTTTTGTACCTTTTTTCTTCAGCCGTGAGGATCCCTCCATCCTTGTATATAATCCCATGAACATGAAGCATAGCAAAGGCAGACTTGAAATCAGTACAGACATTAACCTTCTGGTCCTTAGCTAACAACACAGCCGGTTGGCTATTAATTCAGGCCTCTTTATAGCGGTTCTATTAGGCATAGGACCACTACCACAGACTCCAGTGTCACCACCAGAAAGCCTATTCTTTGTTCCTCTTCCAACGCAAAACTGTTTTCATCTGTAAAATATTCAACATTGGTGTCTCTCAGAAGGCGATTGGTAAAATCTCCATGGCTTGAGGTTATCTCATTCACAATTTGTACTATCAAGAAGGAAGGCTCTTGGTTGGACTGGAAGCAAAGTGGCCAGGTTAATTGTGTTTCTTTTCTCTAGATTTTTATCGAAATTTTCACTTAATAGCTCTAAGTGTGAGCTCTATGTGGGTTTGTGAATGAATTGTGGTTGAGTAGATGATTGCTGAGGTGCGGGCAAGGTGTTTGGGATAAGGGAGAGCTGGTGAGAGAGACATGGCTTTGTGCAGCTAATTTCACCCATTTTTTGCAAAGGTATCTTCCTGAGACATAGAGTCTAATGATGTTTGGTGTCCCCTATAGTAAATGATTGTTACCTGTTTTGGAATTTTGGTGTCTCAAGCAGTTTGAGCAGAGAGATGCATTAGTGATGGGTGTCCCTTGTGTATTTTTTTTTTTTTTTTTTTTGGTACTGGGAATTGAACTCACGACCTTATGTTTGCCAAGCAGGGACTTATGTCACAGAGCTAAATCCGGGCCTCGGTCTTCTGGGTATTAATTACATTTTTTCTGGCAAGTGGTATGACAGCAAAGGGTGTTAAATGTATATCTGGAATCAGTATATATTTTTATGATTGTGTAATTAATGTGAGGGCCCATGTGAAGGCAATTAGTTTTGCTTTTTGTGAAGATGTTTTAGGTGGCAGTGGGCCAATCTGCATGAAATAGGTCCTGTCTGGGGAGGTCATGTACATTGGACAATGGTTCTATTACCTTAGAACCATTGATTATAGCACGTTTTGTTGTCTTTTGAGTGTTGTGTTGGTTATTTTAGTATCTATGAATTGGGTATCAGAAGCTGTAGGGAGAGGAATACTGTCAGTGTGAAGGAAGGGAGTAGGAGTCATCTGTGGAACCTCAACATAACTGTGGACAGGGCATCACATCAGCGATGGGAAGGTAGGTGGCTGGGTTGGGGGAGCTGCTGGCAGAGATGGTGACTGAAGGATTTTGTATGAGTATTAAGTCAGCTTGCTGAAGTGTCTGTGTGAAATAAAGTCATGGTGTAACGGGGTGACTGCATCATAACTGATTGTTACAGGGTGAATTTTTGGCTTCTTGCATTAGTGTGGCTGCTGAGGCACGTGCTCAAAGGCAGCCAGGTCAGCTCTGTACTGTGTTATCCAGTTGTATTGAGAGGTAGGATACTGCTTGGAAAGAACGGTTTGTTTGTGTGTATGTATGTGTTGGTGTGTGTTTTTTAAAACTCCTACAGCATTATGATCTTGAGAGGCAGAAAGCTTGGCTGGGTCAGGGAGACTAGGGGCTGGGGCCTTTGAAAGGGCCTCTTTTAGATTAGAACGTGAGGAGTGTATAGGAGTAGCAGGTTGAGAGGCTTTGATAGGGAATGTTTAGATGTCTTCTAGAGAGGTTGAGCTACTGTAGCAAAATTAGGAACTCAGAAATCAAAGAAGATTTTAAACCTAAAAAGAAAGAAGTTGTTGTTTTGTAGTTGGCACCTGGAGAGCATGGATACAGGTTTTGTGGTTTGAGTTTATAAAGTGTGATGGGGGTGAGAGAGAGACCCAGGAATTTAACCTGTGGTGTAATTATTTGGGCTTTACTGGGGACACCCTGTGTTTGTGACTTGAGAGAAAGTTGAGAAGGGTAGGTATATGTCGTATAGTCAGAGCACAGTATGGAGAACAGAGGAGAAATTATCTGTATATTAGAGATGATTGTTAGGTTTAAGAGTAAGACCTGTGTGGTCAACAGCAATGGCTTGGCTGAAGAAGTGTCGATTGTCCCTGAAGCCTTGTGGTAGGACTGTCTAGGGCAGCTGAGTAGAGTGGAGGGTTTGGATTTGTCCATGTAAAGGCAATCATAGTGTAAGGGAATAGTGAAAATTATCTTTAAGGTCTAACACAAGAAGTCAGAGGTACATGGAAGAATAGGAGACAGCGCAGTGTAAGCCTTTGGAAGCACTGGGTGAATTGGTGTTACCACACTGTGAATAGCTCTGGAATCCTAAACTAGATGACAGGAGTTGTTGGATTTGAAGACAGGGAGAACAGAGCTGTCATAAGGTGAGTGAGTAATTTTCAGAGGCACATTACTTAAACAGAAAACTATAGGTTGGAGCCCCCATTGATGTTTAGAGGCTAGTGGGTATTGGGGACAGAAGGGAAGAGTGAGTGTTTGAAGTGAATTAGCAGTGGAGTAATGTGGGTGGCATCAGTGAGATTGGAGGTGTCTCAAACTGCAGGGTCAAAGAGGAAGGAGGAAAGGGGAAGGGCTGAGTCAGTGGCACGTGACATTTGGGGTTGGAATAGGAGAGCCATGGGGAGACAGAGAGGGAGAGAGTATAAGAGAAATTGAGTTTTGGAGGTTTTTTTTTTTTTTGAATCAAATAAGGGTACACGACAGGTTGAGATAATAAGACAGGTGTATCTAAAGAAAAGGTTTGGAATCTGCAGGGAGTAGGTCCTTTCTTGGGACTTCATGGACACTGGCCATCAACTCCCACAAAAGAGACTGCAGACTGGGAACATCAGCCTGAAAACTCAGGAAGAACACTATGAATGGCCTCCATGTCAACAAAGAACTAGGGGGTTTTACCTGAGATGTCCAGCGAGAATCAGGGCTCTAAGACAGATGCCTAGTTAGTGGTGCTGCTGATCAGATCAGCTGGTGATGAGTCCAAGGTGACAGTGTCCTATCCTGTGAGGGCAGGGAAGGTGAGGACTTCCTCGTTTTCTGGCAGACAGGACAGTCACACTTCCAGAGGCCCTCTTGGTTGCAGATAGGACTGGTTCCCAGTTGTGGCTGCAGGGCAGGGCAGGCTCATGTCCAGTGTCATTTTTCAACTGCACTTGAAGCATGGTGGTAGGGGTGGGCTGGAGTTTTTTTCTCTAGCCTGTGTCTTATCTTAAGCTCTGAGAGCTGCTGCTACTGTAGCTGCTGCTGCAATTGCCAGGAATGTGCCATGGAGTTTAGCTTGGAATGCAGCCTTTTTAAGGTTGACCTGGAATGTAACCTTTTTGAGGCTGTTTTGTTTTTGCTGTGTTTTCCTCCTGTTGAAGACATGGAAAGGCATATCTAAGAGGTCTCCCCAGAGAGACCAAGGTATGACTTTTTGAATTTAGTATGAATGGCTGGTTGTGCTTGGGAAATAAAATAGGATTGCAATTATTTGTTGAGGGGACAAGTGGAAGTGAGAATAACATAATGATCTTTGTAGATAGGATTCAATAATGAAGTTAAGGTTTTTTATATAATTGAATGGGTCTGCAACAAAAGATTTTACATGGTGGAAGATACGTGAGAGATCAAAGAGGGAAAAAGGGACATGAACGGAGACTAAGCCTTGGGTTCCTGTCATCTCACAAAGGGGAAGGAGGAGTTGGGGTGAGCATCATGTGAAAGGTGGCTGGGGAAGGGATACTGCAGACAGCATGTGGAAGGGTTTCCAGATGGCAGTGGGTGTGAGGGGCCTGAAGACCTGGTGAGAGAGAGGAGCATGATCTGGCAATGGAAACAATGGTGACAGTGGAGTGGAAGAGAAGCAGGAAGCAGGGTGGGTTGGGGGAGAGAAGACAGCAATGGAGGAGTAGTGGGGGAGGAAGGAGGTGACAGTGAAGATGGCGGCAGAGCAGAACAAGGGGCGCTTTGTGGGTGTGGTGGAGGAGGGAGAGCAGAGGTGAGAGCTGTCTGTAAGGTCAGCAGGACTGTCAGGAAAGGGTTTTCACAGTGTGGAGCAGGTCAAAAGCATTTGTGCTGCCCCACATGCCTGAATGGGAAGGGGGCTGCCCTGAGAGCAAAAAAGTTCTGAAGACAAGGAGCCCAACCACTTGCCTTATGATAGCAAAGGTGTGTAATACACAGGACTACAAGCCCTGTCCCCCTTAGCTGTCTGAGAATCTTCTGCATCACTCTTTGGATACAATCAAGTAAGTGGATGCCTCAGCTCTGTGGAGGATGGCAGAGAATGTGATGTCGCATCCATGTTCTGCATGTGTGCAGCCTGTCATTTAGAAGCCTTGCCTCAAGGACCCAGGGCCCAACGAAGTCACCTGTGTGTGGCCCTCAGAAAAGAGAACATGGAAGAGTATCCATCCCCTCTGTCCTCCAACTGCCTGGACTTCTTGCCACTAGAAACATGTATGGGAACTAGAACCTAACCCCATGTCCTGGTAACCTCAGGCCTATGTTCAATTCTGAATGATAGGATGTAAACAGAGCTCCTGATGTCCATGTCATGATCATCAAGGCTCTACATAGAGCCCTATACAACTTGACTGTAAACAGAGTGTCCCACATAAGGCACCATGTCCCAACTCACACAGCACTGCATGCAGCCCTCCCCAAGTGAATGTGGGCAGAGCCCTGCCCTTGTCTTAAACACCATGGATGTGCACTCAGCCCTAAAGTGAATGTGAGCAGAGCCTTTCACTATCCTGAAAAACTCAGGCATGTGTGGTGCCCTCTAAGATGTGACTGTGAGCAGAACCTCCCTTGTGTCCTGATGACCTCAGGCACTGCAGGAGCCTCAAAGACTGTGGATGTGGATATAGCTCTTCCATGCAACAACAATTCCAGGGAAGTGTGGCCCCGCTACAAAGCAGAAGGCAAGCAGAGCCTCATGCTGGGCATCAGCATCACGAATGGAAACCTCTACAGGGTGGAGGTGAGTACAGGCACATCATTTGCTGATCGACTTTCTCAGGTAGGTGCAAACCTTCAGCCACACAAAGGTGAGCACAGCACCGTAGAGGGGTGCTCATCTCGTGCATGTGGAGCCCTTTTCAACATGCAACACACACACAGCGGCCCAGCCCAACAATGCCCCGGGGTGTGTGGAACTCTAACAGGAAATGGGCACTGTGTGCCCACACACACAATGACCATCTCAGGATCCTGTGGAGCCCTGTAGAACTCTGTGGGAAATGCCCTCTCCTGTCCAGACAACCTGAGGCATGGGTGGAGCCAGCCAGGTGGTGATCACCTCTCCAAGTAACGTCAAGAACCTTAGACAAGGAGGAAGTGAACACACATCCCCATGCAAACTTCTGATGCGAATTGAGCTGTCTCCAGGGTAAGTGCAAGCACAGGCCTCACAACTCCGATCCATCAGCTACGTGGGACGCCTCTACATTTTGGTGTGAGAAATGTCCCATCACATCCTCACAACCTCACAGGTTTGTGAGTTACTCTATAAAGTGACTCTCCGAACAGCCTCTGCCAATGTCCCAACTACATCTCACCTCTGAGTTGAGCTGGCTTCCATCTACATCTGGCTGGAGCAGCCCAGGATTCAACCATGGAAGAATCCTGTTGAGAATTTACTATGCAAATGTGGAAAGAGGCCTTCACAGACAAAGAGACTGGGCTTACAAACAATATAGGGAACCTGTCCACTGTATATGTGAGCAGGGCCACCCCTCAACATGCCTGAGTCCTGACACACTCAGGCATTTGGGAACACCTGAGTGACATGAATGCAAAGAAGGGGTCTCCACGTCCTGCCAATCAGGAGTCTCTAGTCTCTCTACAGCAGGTAAGCATAAGCAGGGTCTTTGCATCACCTATGGAGCCCTACCGCCATGGAAAGCACAGGAGCTCTACCTACATCTGATCCTCCCAGAGGAATACAAACTGCAGCTTAGCTGTGACCAGAGCCATTTCATGGGGTAATGATCACACCTGTTTGCTGAGGCCTCCACAATGAAGTTGTGAACAGAGTTGCCAATTTCCTCCATACCTCAACCACATATGGAAAGATCTGCAAGGCATGTGCGAAACATCCCCTCTATTGCAGCACAAATGTGCATATGCACACACTATCCCAGGGAGCTGTGCAGCCCTGTGCAAACACAGACATGAGTAGCATTCTCCTGTATCCTGAATAACTCAAGCCCATACAACATGATGGGAGCAGAGCCTGCATGTCCTGGTTACCATTCCTGTGCGTAGACTCGTCTGCACCATGCAGGTGAGTAGCACACTTTGACTCACCTCTTGACCGGCTCCCACGTGGACTTCCCACAGTCTCAAGGAGGACATGCCTTGGGACTTGCAAGACATATGTGACCACAGATGCAGCCTGCAGAGACCCCTCAAACACCCATGCAAGCATAACAAAGCCGACTATTCACCAGCTCTGGTAAGTAGCACCAAGTCATTTTCCTCATCGATGCTAGTTTCCTCCCATATGCATGGGAGCAGCGCACTACATGTTCTGAACAACGTCGGTAATTGTCAGACCCTGGAGAAGAAGTCTGTGAGCAGAAAACAAATTACAAGACTCATTTAAAGGTGAAGACGACTTGCAAAATCTACATACGACCAGAAGCTCTACACATGCACAGACTATCCAAGGTGGCAGTCACACTCAGGAGGATGTACAAGAGAGTGGGGTTTCTCACAGCCAGACGGAGTTAAGTACATGTGGCCTGCAGGATGAGGATGTTAGGAGCAACTGACAGCTCTTGTATTAACCATCTGGGGCTCCTGCAGTGCCTGGTGCAATGTGGATGACAAAGCAGCCCCACCCAATCGCCATCAGAGAAGGGATTTCTTTATAAAAGACCTCCACATCATCTGTATGGTCAGATCTTCGTCCCATCGGCACAACCGTGGGAATGTGGAATCCTGTAAAATGTGCATCTTGTATGATACCTTGAGATAAAGAACATCCTGGGCCTCAGAAGAGTCCTGCAGAACAAGGACGTGAACACCAGTCCCCCCTTGTAGTGGACCTACCACTGATACAGTTGTGATTGCTGTCCAATGTCTTGTCCCCTGAGAACCCTCTGAGCTCAATAAGCAAATGTAAATGGGGCCCTCTCTATTGTAAACCTGCATCCCCTGACCTGTCAGCCCTGCCTCAAGCATGTATGAAACCTTGTGCATTGTGAACCTGACCTCATGTTCCCGTCATGTCCTCCCTACTCCCACTTGTCTGATGCTTAGTGCAATGTCACCATCATTTCATTCACCTGTCCCATGGCATGGAGTCCAGCAAAGAGTGGCGAGCACACACTCCTGTTCTGACTAGGCCATGAATGTGTGTAGCACCACACACCACAGATGTGACCAGGGCCACTCCGCCGTGTCTTGATGACCTCAGGCACTGCTGGAGCCCTGCAGAATGTGGAAGTATGTGCCCAGCATTCATCTCCTGAGCCGCTCTGATGTGTGTGCCCTGTGCAAAGTCAAAGAGAACACAGCACAGACATGGAATATGCATCATCACCTTGCATGCAGCCCCTTAGGAAGAGGACATGACAAGTGGTGCACCATTTCTGGACCAAGTGCAGACTCTGAAAAAAACCTCTATCACACAGTTTCAGCCAGGGAAGCACAGCCTGCGCTCATCAGCCTCACCATTGTGTGGCCCTCCCCAAGAGAATGTGAGCAGCACCCTGCCCTTGTCTTAAACACCACGGATGTGCACTGAGCTCTAAAGTGAATGTGAGCAGAGCCTCTCACTGTCCTGAACAACTCAGGCATGTGTGGCCCCCAGCATGATTTGACTGAGAGCAGAGCCTCCCCTTTGTACTGACAACCTCAGGCCATGGAAGAGCCCTGGACAGGGTGGATCAGGACACAGCCTTTCCACACACCAAAATTCTCAGGTAAGTCTGGCCCCACTATAAAGAGAAGGCAAGAAGAGCCCCACATACTGCAGACCTCAGCATCATGCATGAAGCCTTCTAAAGGGTGGAGGCAAGAAGAGGCACACCATTTGCTGACAGACTCTCTCAGGTAGGTACAAGCCTTCAGTGACACAGAGGTGAGCAGAGCAGTGCACAGTGGTGCTCATCTCACCCATGTGGAGCCCTTTTCAACATGTAAGAGGCACACAGCGGCTCATTCCATCAATGCCTCAGGCCTGTGCGGAACTCTCCACCGGGAAATGGTCACCGTGTGCCCGCACACACAAAGACCATCTCAGGTTCCTGTGGAGCCCTCAAAAACTATGTGGGCGATGCCGTGTCTTGTCCAGACTACCTGAGGTACGGTTGCAGCCCAGATAGGCGATGATCACCTCTGCAAGTCAAGAACCTCACAAAAGGAGGATGAGAACTCACTTCCCCCTTGCAAACATCTGCTGGGATTGGGAGCCCTCTCCAAGGTAAGTGGGAGCACAGGCCTCATAACTTCAATCCGTCAGCTATGTGGGACGCCTCTACATTATGCTGTGACAAATGTCCCATCACATCCTCACAAACTCACATGTTTGTGAGCACTCTACAAAGTGACTCTCTGAACAGCCTCTGCCAACACCCCAGCTACATCTCACCTCTGATTTGAGCTGGCTTGCCTCTGCACCTCCCTGGAGCAGTCCGGGACTCAACCATGGAAGATTCCTGTGGAGAATCTACTATGCGAATGTGGACAGAGGCCTCCACAGACAAAGAGACTGCACTTACAAACAATATAGGGAACCTGTCCAGTATATACGTGAGCAAGACCACCTCTCAACCTGTCCTGACACACTCAGGAATTTGGGAATACCTGAGCAACATGAATGTGAAGAAGGGGTCTCCGTGTCCTGCCAATCGGGGACCTCCAGTCTCTGTAAATCAGGTAAGCATGAGCAAGGCCTTTGCATCTCTGTCTCCTGGGGAGCCCTGCCACCGTGGACTCCACAGGAGCTCAACCTACTCCTGACCATCGCAGAGGAATGCAAACTGCAGCTTGCCTGTGACCAAAGCCATTTCCTGGGGTAATGATCACACCCATGTGCAGAGGCCTCCACAATGAGGTTCTGAAAAGTGCTGCCAATTTCCTCCATCCCTCAGCCACATGTGGAAAGATCTGCAAGGTGAGTATGTGCAAAACAGCCCCTCTGTCACAGCACACATGCCTATAAGCTCACACACACACACACATCTGCACCCACATATGCATCCTCACCATCCCACGCAGCTGTGCAGCCCTGTGCAAACACAGACATGAGTAGCATCCTCCTGTGTCCTGGACAACTCAAGCCCATACAGCATGATGGGAGCAGAGCCTGCATGTCCTGGCTACCATTCCTGTCAGTAGACTTGTCTGCACCATGCATGTAAGTCGCACACTTTGCTCCTGACCTCTTGACCTGCTCCCGCGTGCACCTCCCAGAATCACAAGGAGGACATGGCCTGGGAACTGCAAGACATGTGTGACCAGAGAGGCAGCCTGGATTGACCCCTCAAACACCGATGCAAGCAGTACCAAGCCGACTCTTCACCAGCTCTGGTAAGTAGCACTCAGTCATTTTCCTCATCGCTGCTGAGATATGCATGGGAGCAGGGCAATGCATGTTCTGAACAACATCGGCAATTGTCAGGGCCTGGAGAACCACGCTGTGAACAGAAATCAAACTACCTGACCCCCTTAAGGGTGAACACAACGTGCCAAATCTATGTGTGATCAGAATCTCCACACATGTACCAACTGTCCAGGGTTGTAGTCACACTCTGGAGGATGTCCATGTGAGTTGGGTCTGTCACAGGCAGACAGATTCAGGTACATGTGTGGCCTGCACGATGGGGATGTTAGGAGCACACTGACACCCCTTGTGTTGACCATTTTGGGCCCCTGCAGTGCCTGCTACACTGTAGATGACAATGCAGCCTCGCCCAATCCCCATCAGAGAAGGGATTTCTTTATAAAAGACCTCCACATCATCCGTATGGTCAGATCTTCGTCTCATCGGCACCACCACAGGGATGTGGAATTCTGTAAAATGTGCATCTTTTATGATACCTTGAGATAAAAAACATCCTGGGCCTCAGAAGAGTCCTGCAGAACAAGGACATGAACACCAGTCCCCCCTGTAGTGGACCTACCACGGATACAGTTGTGATTCCTGTCCAATGTCTTGTCCCCTGAGAACCCTATGAGCTCAATAACCAACTGTAAAAGGGGCCCTCTCTATTGTAAACCTGCATCCCCCTGACCTGTCAGCCCTGCCTCAAGCATGTATGAAACCTTGTGCATTGTGAACCTGACCTCATGTTCCCATCATGTCCTCCCTACTCCCACTTGTCTGATGCTTAGTGCAATGTCACCATCATTTTAGTCACCTGTCCCATGGCATGGAGTCCAGCACAGAGTGGTGAGCACACACTCCTGTTCTGACTCTGCCATGAATGGGTGTAGCACCACACACCACAGATGTGAGCAGGGCCACTCCGCCGTGTCTTGATGACCTCAGGCACTGCTGGAGCCCTGCAGAATGTGGAAGTGTGTGCCCATCATTCATCTCCTGACCCGCTCTGATGTGTGTGCCCTGTGCAAAGTCAAAGAGAACACAGCACAGACATGGCATATGCCTCATCACCTTACATGCAGCCCCTTAGGAAGAGGACATGACAAGTGGTGCACCATTTCTGGACCAAGTGCAGACTCTGTGAAAAACCTCTATCACACAGTTTCAGCCAGGGAACCACAGCCTGCGCTCATCAGCCCCACCATTGTGTGGCCCTCCCCAAGTGAATGTGAGCAGGACCCTGCCCTTGTCTTAAACACCACGGATGTGCACTCAGCTCTCAAGTGAATGTGAGCAGAAACTCTCACTGTCCTGAGCAACTCAGGCATGTGTGGCCCCCTGCACAATTTGACTTAGAGCAGAGCCTCCCCTTTGTACTGACAACCTCAGGCCATGGAAGAGCCCTGGACAGGGTGGATCAGGACACAGCCTTTCCACACACCAAAATTCTCAGGTAAGTCTGGCCCCACTATAAAGAGAAGGCAAGAAGAGCCCCACATACTGCAGACCTCAGCATCATGCATGAAGCCTTCTAAAGGGTGGAGGCAAGAAGAGGCACACCATTTGCTGACAGACTCTCTCAGGTAGGTACAAGCCTTCAGTGACACAGAGGTGAGCAGAGCAGTGCACAGTGGTGCTCATCTCACCCATGTGGAGCCCTTTTCAACATGTAAGAGGCACACAGCGGCTCATTCCATCAATGCCTCAGGCCTGTGCGGAACTCTCCACCGGGAAATGGTCACCGTGTGCCCGCACACACAAAGACCATCTCAGGTTCCTGTGGAGCCCTCAAAAACTATGTGGGCGATGCCGTGTCTTGTCCAGACTACCTGAGGTACGGTTGCAGCCCAGATAGGCGATGATCACCTCTGCAAGTCAAGAACCTCACAAAAGGAGGATGAGAACTCACTTCCCCCTTGCAAACATCTGCTGGGATTGGGAGCCCTCTCCAAGGTAAGTGGAAGTACAGGCCTCATAACTTCAATCCATCAGCTACGTGGGATGCCTCTACATTATGCTGTGACAAATGTCCCATCACATCCTCACAAACTCACATGTTTGTGAGCACTCTACAAAATGACTCTCCGAACAGCCTCTGCCAACACCCCAGCTACATCTCACCTCTGATTTGAGCTGGCTTGCATCTGCATCTCCCTGGAGCAGTCCGGGACTCAACCATGGAAGATTCCTGTGGAGAATCTACTATGCGAATGTGGACAGAGGCCTCCACAGACAAAGAGACTGCACTTACAAACAATATAGGGAACCTGTCCAGTATATACGTGAGCAAGACCACCTCTCAACCTGTCCTGACACACTCAGGAATTTGGGAATACCTGAGCAACATGAATGTGAAGAAGGGGTCTCCGTGTCCTGCCAATCGGGGACCTCCAGTCTCTGTAAATCAGGTAAGCATGAGCAAGGCCTTTGCATCTCTGTCTCCTGGGGAGCCTTGCCACCGTGGACTCCACAGGAGCTCAACCTACTCCTGACCATCGCAGAGGAATGCAAACTGCAGCTTGCCTGTGACCAAAGCCATTTCCTGGGGTAATGATCACACCCATGTGCAGAGGCCTCCACAATGAGGTTCTGAAAAGTGCTGCCAATTTCCTCCATCCCTCAGCCACATGTGGAAAGATCTGCAAGGTGAGTATGTGCAAAACAGCCCCTCTGTCACAGCACACATGCCTATAAGCTCACACACACACACACATCTGCACCCACATATGCATCCTCACCATCCCACGCAGCTGTGCAGCCCTGTGCAAACACAGACATGAGTAGCATCCTCCTGTGTCCTGGACAACTCAAGCCCATACAGCATGATGGGAGCAGAGCCTGCATGTCCTGGCTACCATTCCTGTCAGTAGACTTGTCTGCACCATGCATGTAAGTCGCACACTTTGCTCCTGACCTCTTGACCTGCTCCCGCGTGCACCTCCCAGAGTCACAAGGAGGACATGGCCTGGGAACTGCAAGACATGTGTGACCAGAGAGGCAGCCTGGATTGACCCCTCAAACACCGATGCAAGCAGTACCAAGCCGACTCTTCACCAGCTCTGGTAAGTAGCACTCAGTCATTTTCCTCATCGCTGCTGAGATATGCATGGGAGCAGGGCAATGCATGTTCTGAACAACATCGGCAATTGTCAGGGCCTGGAGAACCACGCTGTGAACAGAAATCAAACTACCTGACCCCCTTAAGGGTGAACACAACGTGCCAAATCTATGTGTGATCAGAATCTCCACACATGTACCAACTGTCCAGGGTTGTAGTCACACTCTGGAGGATGTCCATGTGAGTTGGGTCTGTCACAGGCAGACAGATTCAGGTACATGTGTGGCCTGCACGATGGGGATGTTAGGAGCACACTGACACCCCTTGTGTTGACCATTTTGGGCCCCTGCAGTGCCTGCTACACTGTAGATGACAATGCAGCCTCGCCCAATCCCCATCAGAGAAGGGATTTCTTTATAAAAGACCTCCACATCATCCGTATGGTCAGATCTTCGTCTCATCGGCACCACCACAGGGATGTGGAATCCTGTAAAATGTGCATCTTTTATGATACCTTGAGATAAAGAACATCCTGGGCCTCAGAAGAGTCCTGCAGAACAAGGACATGAACACCAGTCCCCCCTGTAGTGGACCTACCACGGATACAGTTGTGATTCCTGTCCAATGTCTTGTCCCCTGAGAACCCTATGAGCTCAATAACCAACTGTAAAAGGGGCCCTCTCTATTGTAAACCTGCATCCCCCTGACCTGTCAGCCCTGCCTCAAGCATGTATGAAACCTTGTGCATTGTGAACCTGACCTCATGTTCCCATCATGTCCTCCCTACTCCCACTTGTCTGATGCTTAGTGCAATGTCACCATCATTTTAGTCACCTGTCCCATGGCATGGAGTCCAGCACAGAGTGGTGAGCACACACTCCTGTTCTGACTCTGCCATGAATGGGTGTAGCACCACACACCACAGATGTGAGCAGGGCCACTCCGCCGTGTCTTGATGACCTCAGGCACTGCTGGAGCCCTGCAGAATGTGGAAGTGTGTGCCCATCATTCATCTCCTGACCCGCTCTGATGTGTGTGCCCTGTGCAAAGTCAAAGAGAACACAGCACAGACATGGCATATGCCTCATCACCTTACATGCAGCCCCTTAGGAAGAGGACATGACAAGTGGTGCACCATTTCTGGACCAAGTGCAGACTCTGTGAAAAACCTCTATCACACAGTTTCAGCCAGGGAACCACAGCCTGCGCTCATCAGCCCCACCATTGTGTGGCCCTCCCCAAGTGAATGTGAGCAGGACCCTGCCCTTGTCTTAAACACCACGGATGTGCACTCAGCTCTCAAGTGAATGTGAGCAGAACCTCTCACTGTCCTGAGCAACTCAGGCATGTGTGGCCCCCTGCACAATTTGACTTAGAGCAGAGCCTCCCCTTTGTACTGACAACCTCAGGCCATGGAAGAGCCCTGGACAGGGTGGATCAGGACACAGCCTTTCCACACACCAAAATTCTCAGGTAAGTCTGGCCCCACTATAAAGAGAAGGCAAGAAGAGCCCCACATACTGCAGACCTCAGCATCATGCATGAAGCCTTCTAAAGGGTGGAGGCAAGAAGAGGCACACCATTTGCTGACAGACTCTCTCAGGTAGGTACAAGCCTTCAGTGACACAGAGGTGAGCAGAGCAGTGCACAGTGGTGCTCATCTCACCCATGTGGAGCCCTTTTCAACATGTAAGAGGCACACAGCGGCTCATTCCATCAATGCCTCAGGCCTGTGCGGAACTCTCCACCAGGAAATGGTCACCGTGTGCCCGCACACACAAAGACCATCTCAGGTTCCTGTGGAGCCCTCAAAAACTATGTGGGCGATGCCATGTCTTGTCCAGACTACCTGAGGTACGGTTGCAGCCCAGATAGGCGATGATCACCTCTGCAAGTCAAGAACCTCACAAAAGGAGGATGAGAACTCACTTCCCCCTTGCAAACATCTGCTGGGATTGGGAGCCCTCTCCAAGGTAAGTGGAAGCACAGGCCTCATAACTTCAATCCATCAGCTACGTGGGACGCCTCTACATTATGCTGTGACAAATGTCCCATCACATCCTCACAAACTCACATGTTTGTGAGCACTCTACAAAGTGACTCTCTGAACAGCCTCTGCCAACACCCCAGCTACATCTCACCTCTGATTTGAGCTGGCTTGCATCTGCATCTCCCTGGAGCAGTCCGGGACTCAACCATGGAAGATTCCTGTGGAGAATCTACTATGCGAATGTGGACAGAGGCCTCCACAGACAAAGAGACTGCACTTACAAACAATATAGGGAACCTGTCCAGTATATACGTGAGCAAGACCACCTCTCAACCTGTCCTGACACACTCAGGAATTTGGGAATACCTGAGCGACATGAATGTGAAGAAGGGGTCTCCGTGTCCTGCCAATCGGGGACCTCCAGTCTCTGTAAATCAGGTAAGCATGAGCAAGGCCTTGGCATCTCTGTCTCCTGGGGAGCCTTGCCACCGTGGACACCACAGGAGCTCAACCTACTCCTGACCATCGCAGAGGAATGCAAACTGCAGCTTGCCTGTGACCAAAGCCATTTCCTGGGGTAATGATCACACCCATGTGCAGAGGCCTCCACAATGAGGTTCTGAAAAGTGCTGCCAATTTCCTCCATCCCTCAGCCACATGTGGAAAGATCTGCAAGGTGAGTATGTGCAAAACAGCCCCTCTGTCACAGCACACATGCCCATAAGCTCACACACACACACACACACATCTGCACCCACATATGCATCCTCACCATCCCACGCAGCTGTGCAGCCCTGTGCAAACACAGACATGAGTAGCATCCTCCTGTGTCCTGGACAACTCAAGCCCATACAGCATGATGGGAGCAGAGCCTGCATGTCCTGGCTACCATTCCTGTCAGTAGACTTGTCTGCACCATGCATGTAAGTCGCACACTTTGCTCCTGACCTCTTGACCTGCTCCCACGTGCACCTCCCAGAGTCACAAGGAGGACATGGCCTGGGAACTGCAAGACATGTGTGACCAGAGAGGCAGCCTGGATTGACCCCTCAAACACCGATGCAAGCAGTACCAAGCCGACTCTTCACCAGCTCTGGTAAGTAGCACTCAGTCATTTTCCTCATCGCTGCTGAGATATGCATGGGAGCAGCGCAATGCATGTTCTGAACAACATCGGCAATTGTCAGGGCCCGGAGAACCACGCTGTGAACAGAAATCAAACTACCTGACCCCCTTAAGGGTGAACACAACGTGCCAAATCTATGTGTGATCAGAATCTCCACACGTGTACCGACTGTCCAGGGTTGTAGTCACACTCTGGAGGATGTCCATGTGAGTTGGGTCTCTCACAGGCAGACAGATTCAGGTACATGTGTGGCCTGCATGATGGGGATGTTAGCAGCACACTGACACCCCTTGTGTTGACCATCTGGGGCCCCTGCACTGCCTGGTACACTGTGTATGACAATGGAGCCCCACCCAATCCCCATCAGAGAAGGGATTTCTTTATAAAAGACCTCCACATCAACTGTATGGTCAGATCTTCGTCCCATTGGCCCCACCGCGGGAATGTGGAATCCTGTAAAATGTGCATCTTTTATGATACCTTGAGATAAAGAACATCCTGGGCCTCAGAAGAGTCCTGCAGAACAAGGACATGAACACCAGTCCCCCCTGTAGTGGACCTACCACGGATACAGTTGTGATTCCTGTCCAATGTCTTGTCCCCTGAGAACCCTATGAGCTCAATAACCAACTGTAAAAGGGGCCCTCTCTATTGTAAACCTGCATCCCCCTGACCTGTCAGCCCTGCCTCAAGCATGTATGAAACCTTGTGCATTGTGAACCTGACCTCATGTTCCCATCATGTCCTCCCTACTCCCACTAAGTCTGATGCTTGGTGCAATGTCACCATCATTTTAGTCACCTCTCCCATGGCATTCAGTCCAGGCAGAGTGTTGAGCACACACACTCTTGTTGTGAATATGCCATGAATATGTGTAGCATCACACACCACAGATCTGAGCACAGCTACTCCACGTCTTGATGACCTCAGGCACTGCTGGAGCGCTGCAGAATGTGGAAGTGTGTGCAGATCATCCATCTCTTGACCAGCTCTGATGTGTGTGCCCTTTGCAAAGTCAAAGAGAACAGAATACAATCGTGTCATGTGCATCATCACCTTGCACGCACACCTGTAGGAAGAAGACATGACAAATGGTACACCATTTCTGGAGCAAGTGCATACTCCGTGGAAAACCTCTACCCCACAAATACAGCCAGAGAACCACTGCCTGCAGTAATCAGCCTCAGGATTGTGTGGCCTTCCCAATGTGAATGTGAGCAGAGCTCTGCCCTTGTCTTCAACACCACGGATATGCACTCAGCGCTAAAGTGAATATGAGCAGAGTCTCTCACTGTCGTGAACAACTCTGGCAATTAATGTCGCCCTACAAGATGTGACTGTGAGCGCAGCCTCCCCTGTGTCCTGACAACATCAGGCCCTGGAAGAGCCCTGCACTGTGTGGATGTAGAACAGCTATTCGACATTCCAACAGTCCCAGGGAAGTGTGGCTCCTGTACAAAGATGAGGCAAGCAGAGCCCCACATGCTCCAGACATCAGCATCATGCATGAAGCCCTCTATAGGGTGCAGGTCAGAAGAGGCACACCATTTGTGGCTGGATTCTCTTAGGTAGGTACAGTGCTTCAACGACACAGAGGTGAGCAGAGCAGTGCACAGTTGTGCTTATCTCGTGCATGTGGAGCCCTTTTCAACATGTAACACACACACAGCGGTCCATTCCGTCAATGCCTCAGGCCTGTGTGGAACTCTCCACCAGGAAATGGGCACTGTGTGCCAACCCTTAAACCACCATCTTAGGCTCTTATGGAGCCCTAACGAATCTCTATATGCAATGCTCCTCCTGTACTGACAAGCTGAGGAATGGGAGGAGCCCAGCCAGGTGCTGATCACCCTTCCAAGTCAAGAATCTTAGACATGGATGATGTGAATACACTTCCCGTGTGCAAACTTCTGCTGGGATTAGGAGCCCTCTCAAGGTAAGTGGAAACACAGGTCTCACAACTCCAATCCATCAGCTACATCGGACGCCTCTCCATTATGTTGTGATAAAGGTCCCATCACATCCTCACAACCTCACATGTTTGTGAGCACTATATAAAGTGACTCTGGGAACAGACTCCGCCAATGTCCAAACTACATCTCACCTATGAGTTGAGCTGGATTCCATCTGCATCTGGCTGGACTAGTGCAGGACTCAACTATGAAGACTCCTGTCAAGAATCTACTATTCGAATGTGGCCAGAGACTTCCACACATAAAGAGACTGTACTTACAAACAATATAGGGAACCTGTGCAATGTATGTGTGAGAACGGCCACCCTTCAACATGTCCTGAGACACTCAGGCATTTGGGAACACTTGAGGGAGATCAATATGAAGAATGGGTCTCCACTTCCTGCCAACAGGGGTCTCCAGTCTCTACAGCAGGTAAGCATAAGCAGGGCCTTTGCATCTCTGTCACCTATGGACCCTGCCGCCATTGAGAGCACAGGAGCTCGACCTACTTCTGACCCTCACATAGGAGTACAACCTCTGCAGCTTGGTTGTGACCAGAGCCACTTCCTGTGGTAATGATCACACACATGTGCAGAGGCCTCCACAATGAGGTTGTGAACAGAGATGCCAATTTCCTTCATCCCTTAGCCACATGTGGATGACCTGCAAGGTGAGTATGTGCAAAACAGCCCCTTTATCACTGCACAAATGTGCATACACTCACAGACATCTGTACACACATATGCATCATCACCATCCCAGGCAGATGTGCTGCCCTGTACAAACACAGACATGAGTAGCATCCTCCTGTGTCCTGAACAACTCAAGCCCATACAGCATGATGGGAGCAGAGACTGCATGTCCTACTAACAATTCCTGTGCATAGACTCATCTGCACCATGCATGTGAGTAGCACATTTTGCTCCTGACCTCTTGACCTGCTCTCATGTGCACAACCCATAGTCACAAGGACGACATGGCCTGGGACTTGCAAGACATTTGTGACCACAGAGGCAGCCTGGAGAAACCCCTCAAATACCCATTTAAGCAGCACCAAGCCAAATCTTCACCACCTCTGGTAAGTACCACTAAGTCATTTAATTTCCTCATCGCCACGGAGATATCCATGGGAGCAGGCAATTGTCAGGCCCTGTAGAACCAGGCTGTGAGCAGAAACCAAACTACCTGATTCCCTCAAGGGTGAGGACACCTTGCAAAACATACATAGGACCAGAATCTCCACACATGTACCGACTGTCCAGGTTGGCAGTCACAATCTTGAGGAGGTACATGGGAGCAGACTCTGTCTCAGGCAATATGTGGCCCGCAGGACAGGGATTTGAGCAGCCCCTGGACCCCTTGTGCCTACCCTCTGTGTCAGTTTTAGTGCCTGTTACACTGTGGATCAGAATGGAGGCCAGCACATCCCATCAAAGCAAGGATATTTTTATTAAAGACCTGGACATCCTCTGCGTGGCTAGATCTTCATACCATCTGCACCACCTCAGGTATGTGGAATCCTATAAAATGTGCATCTGATGTGATATTTTCAGAAAAGCAACATTATGGGCCTGCACAGAGTGCTGCAGAACATGGACATGCACAGCAGTCCCCCAATAGTAGACGTACTAATGTGTCTGTGATTTCCGTACTAGGTAGTTGCTCCCTGATAGCCCCATCACCTTAGTAACCTGCTGTGTATGCGTCCCTCCATATATAAATGTGAGCATAGCTGTCCCTGCTACCTCACTTGTCATTGCCATGGGAATCAAATAGGAAATCTTGTACAATATGAAGTTGACCTGAATAGTCCCCATATCCTTATCACCTGTGTAATGCCTTAAAAGATTTGTTAATCCAGCAGCCTTTCTCCTTTGTGGGCAATTCTAGAATGTCATGATCATTAAGCTCCCTGTCCTGACCTCCTCAGGAATATGTGGATATGCGCAAGGCTAGAGTTCCACATCCTGATGGCCTCATGCCTTGATGGTGCCTGGTCGATCATGGACAAGAGAAGAGACCCTCCAAATTGTGACAACTGCCAGTGTGTGTTACCTTTACAATGTCAGTGTGATCACAGCCCACATGTTTTTGTGTCATCATCATATAATGAGCCCCGTAAAATGAGAAGAGCTGCGATATTCATCCGAACTCAGGCCCCTGGAAAACTTTTCCAGTGTGGGTATGACCAGCAGCACCCTATGTGGTTATCAGCTTTTCAATGTGAGGAGCCCTCTTCAGTGTGAATGGAAGCAGCGTACACTAAGTTCTCCGGAGCATAGGTATGCATGACACCATCAGTAGGGGTTTGTGAACAGTAGCTTCTGTATAAACACTAACATCTCAGCAGTGGGTGCAGTGCTAGAGAGCACATGGCCTGCATTGTGTCCTCAATGTCTGGATGCCCCAGATATGGATGCAGCCCTGAACAGTTAGAAGGGGAGTAGAACTGTATCCCCACACTATGGACAAGTGTGGAGCCCTGTGTGTGGACCTGAGAATGTCCTCAGAGCCATTCTATCCAGCCCATCTCAGGTCCTTGGAGCCCTGTTACAAGGAGGAGGTCCTCAGAGCCTTCCATTTCCTGATCATTTTGGCAGATTCTGAAATTTTCCAAATCAGGGAACTGAGCACCACCCCATTGTTTTGACCACATCTAGTGCCTGAAGCCTTCTGTAATGTTGTTGTGAGCCGAGCAGACTAGGTCTGTTCCACATCTGGCATGTGCCACAGATGAGTGGTAACTCCAGTACCCAGACCCTTTCAGAAATGCGCAGAGCCCTCTCCCTATGGATACTCAATAGTTCTGCTTTTTTTTTTTTTTTTCAAATAAGGTCTCATTATGCGGTTCGGGCTGGCCTTCAGTTCACTTTGTAGCTCAGGCTGGGCACAAACTCACAGCAATTCACCTGTGTGCCTCAGCTCCAAGTGTTGGGATTACACCACCACCCTGGCTTAAACACTTCCGTAAAAATCCTGATCATCTTCATGGTATGAGGATCCATATACAACATGGAGGTGAGTACTCTTCATCCCTATGTCTTGATCTTCTAGGGTGCGGGAGGAGTGCTGTACCATGTGGATGGGAGCAGGTACCCTCCAAAAAACAAGATTACAACAGTCCTTATCCTTCTATATCCTGGCCAAGAACCCAGGACCTGGACATGAGTAGAGCCTCCCATGTCCTAACCCTCTCAGGATATAGGTTGAATTGTCTACTGTGTAGTTGAGAGCAGAGCTTCACAATCAGGTGTTTGAGCTGGGCATGGAAGCACACTCCTGTAATCCCAGCACTTGGGAGGTTGAGGCAGGTGGATTGTTGCAAGTTCGAGACCAGCCTGGTCAGCCAAGTTCAATACTAGCCAAAGTGAGACCAAGGCCAGACTGAACCACATGGTGAGATGCTCTACTAAGATGACAGAGTTCTCTACCACCACATTCTGATCCTAGTTCGGGATTTAGCTCAGTGCCTACCTGGCAAACATGAGGTGACCTGTTCTATCCCTAGGACAAAAACAAGCAAACAGACTGGCAACAATAACAAAAGAAGATATACACTTTGGAACCTCTTAGTTCTGTCCCAGGCACTTAAGCCACCCTGCATGCAGGTCACTCCTCCCCAAATAAGACCAGCACCCCTCCTGGTGGCGGACCACATATCCTGTGTACAGAGTCTTTATCATGGATAGGAGCAGAGGCACACACCATGTTCTGACTATCTCAGGTGTGTGGGGAGCCCTCTGTAATGTGGATGTCCAGGATGGCCAGTCCTGATCATCATATTGTGTGGGGCTCTTTTCAATGAAAATATAGACACAGGACTCGTGTCCTGGTCATCTGAGGTGTGTGGAACCCTCCAGAAATGTAGTATAATCAGAAAGTCCCCATCCTCAACTCTGACTAGTTTTACCATAACAGAGCCCTGTATGCTGTGGCTCTGGATAGTCATATACCTCATTTTCTGAGTATCCCATGCAGCAGTGTGGGAATAGCTTATACACTGATGTGTGTGGATCAACTCAGAGCTACTGTGTCCTGACATCTCAGGGACAGGTGGGTGCTTCTCAGACATGGATGAGTGGAACATCATGACCTCAGTATGTCAGATATCTGGACTCTTCCCTAAGGTCAGTGTGAACAGAAGACACTCCACCCACATTTCTGGCCATCTCAGGTGTGTATTGATCCCTCTAAAACGTGTATATGAGCAGAGTACCCCATGTTCTGACCATCAAAGGCATGTGAGGAGCCCTCTACAACACAGATGTGAGCAGAGACTTCCACTCACTGAGTTTACCATCTCAGGCTCCACATATATGTGGATCTCAGCAGAATCTACCATGTGCTCATATCACTAGTGTCTGCAGAGCCTCCTACAACATGAATAGAAGTAAAGATCCTGAACTTTATCACCTGGATGTGGATCCCCTACAACACAGAAGTGAGCAGAGCTACACCCACGCCAATTATCGAAAGTACACAGAGAACCCTGTGCGTTGTGCCTATGAGCCGAGATCCCCAGGGATGAACACTCAGATGTGGGGGGAACCGTCTTCCAGGAGGATGTGGGCAGAGTCCCCAACTCTCCTAACATTCGCAATCATTTGTGGAAGCTTCTGCAAGGTGGTTCATGGCAGAGGCCCCATGTCTTGACTGTCATTAGAGAGATCTATAAGCACCAACTAAACAAAGCACATGAAAGACAAAAAGCAAACAACTTCTGCAAAGAATACTGAGCTAATTTCATAGCCTAAGCTGTGACTGGTTTACTACCCTTGTATAACAAACTGTCTTTGTATCTGTTTAGATCATTTCAGCCAACTGAAGGATCATCTGTCAAAAATAATCTCAGGATCACAGGAGATCAGCTTTCCTGTTACACACATCACACACTGCAAAGCTGAGAAAAGGTGCAGAATTATTACTCTGGGACTGAGATGTAGGAAGGTGCCATGAGACTGATAGAGTGCCTGATCCATTTCAGAAACAATATCTCAAGTTTGAACCAGGCACAGCCTGAATTTGGAAGGTGAACCGAATACCGCCCTCTGTGCACTGTCATCCTACATGGCCAGATCTGGACTGATGGACTGCAGCTCAGGACACTGTCAATCCTCCTGATTTCAGCAAAGGCCTCCTGGTGACATCCTGTGAAAAGGTTCCATAGTGGAGCCCAGACACCTGTATGGCAAGTAGGCTGTTTAACAAACCCTCAACATGGAACCCAAGCCTGCTTCCAGGCCCAAGGGATAGGAAAGGTGAATGTGCCAGCCAGAGCTCCAGCACGAGACAGCCCTGAGGCATGGGTGGCTCTTAGTTTTCTCCATTGAGATCTGCCTAAGACGCAGACATCACACAGCTCAAAATGCATGGATGTCAATGGTTAGAGAACTGTTTGGCTTATGTACCTTCATCACGGACTCAAGCACAGATCCCAAAGTATTTCTGCAAAGTCGAGGTCAACACTATAATGGTGGATGCCACTCACCAAACAGATCCCAAAGTATTTCTGCAAAGTCGAGGTCAACACTATAATGGTGGATGCCACTCACCAAAACACAACCACACTTAGATTACAGGGACACAGGGACACACCAGAGCCTACTGTGTAGGCAAGCTCTGTATCTTCCCAGCACCACAACTCTGCATCACTCTGACTTTACAGCTGTGCTTTTCAGCACTTCCCTGGGGACATGCAAGGGCCATGGTGCAGAAGCTCATTAGAGGACTCAAAGAAAAAAAGGCATCTGTGTATCCTATGGCCATTATACCACCTCCCACTGACTACCAAATGTAGACAAAAATGGGGTGAAGCTATCTGCCCAAGGTGACTCACTGGAGGAAAACACTTGGCTTAGTCCTAGAGCTGGCAACTCCAGAGCGCTGCCTACCACCCAGTGCACCTCAATGATTTGCACTCAGTGCTCAGTACTGCTGCCTTTATTCAAAAGTGCATATAAATCCTTCAGGCTACAGGAAGGTTCTTTTACAAATTCCCTAACCTGAATATGATTCTTATGGATCTGAAATGTACCAATAATCATAATTATGAAAGGAAAAATGATAAAAATAAAAGTGTTCTCACAGTATCAAATTTTAAGTTGTACTCAGGCTTTCTCTGCCCTGAGGCTTGATGCAAAACTGTGGCCTTCCTAGGCCACTTGGAGCCCTCACACTCGCCCACATCAGGCACCAGGCACGTCTGTGATTCTTGCCACTGACAACTGGTAGGAAGGAGGAGCAATTGCTTTTAGTAAAGATGCAACAATTCCAGTTAAGCTTTTCTCACCTTTTCATGAGAGCAGAAAAAGGAAAACTACTAACATGTCTTTGTAAGTGTGTAAGCAACCATCAGAATGAGTGTGTATTTGCAGACATTAGTTTGGCACAGCACATGTCCCTTCAGGCACTGTAGGAACAACTGGGTGACCACCAGAGCGTCCACCCCATGGAAGGATGGGCCATGGAGCACCACACAGCAGTTTGAAAGCAGAATCCCCATGCCACACCGAGACGCCTACCATGGTCAGCTGGAAAATCAGGCAATGGAGAGCCAGGGTGTAGCCTTGGCCTTTAGGAGACACATTTTTGCACAAACACAGAAATTTGTGTATCAAACACAGCGGGACTCATTTCCTGAACTGTGACTAAGAAGCAGACTTCTTTGTTCTTAACGTAGGCCCTTCTGAGCTATGTGAATGTCTCAACCAAGCACTTAAGAAAAATAACAATCAATTAGAATGTCTCAGCAGAAAGCTGAGCTCCCACATCAAGAGGCTCCAGCTCAAAGGGAGGATGGAAAAATGAACATAAGGTCAGATGTAGGATCTTCTGTTCATGGTGTACGTAAGATAGTATGAGCTGCACGGAATGGTACATACCTGTAATCCCAGTATGCAAGAGGCTGAGGCTGGATGACTCCATGGTCCACTCTCACAATTTGGATGGTATACCTGACAAATAAACATTCAAGGTATATAATGTGATGATTTCGTATGCATGTACATTATAAACTGAGTTCCACATCAAGTGAATGAACGTACCCATCAATATTCGATGGTTACCACTGGAGTGTACAGGCACTTGAGAGATACAGGCACTTTAGGCCTCAGGGTTCAAAAGCCCAGCTGGATGCTTGTGGCCTTCAGAATTCTCAATGTGGCTTCTGTTCAGCCCCTCCCTAAAGCACCCATGTGTACAGCTATACCTACATGCATCACACATGCACACACCATCTCACACCTCACTCCACACCACACAGTTCCCAATCGTCCTCCACAAAGAGTTTTTCTTCAATTAATCCCAGCTGCACTGGGTTTTTTGTAGGTGTCCCCTGGGAACCTGTTTTGGCTACCTGGCTCCTATGGATACCAAGTTTCTGGCTCTCTTCACCTGCATCACCTCTCTGTACTGCTCTGGCATGAACCAGCTGCTTTGTCATCTTCTTATCCATCTTCTTATCCTGTCTATATAACAAGCTGCAACCACGTTGTGTCTCCTATTTTGTTCACTATTAGAACAATGCCCACACACAGGAGGAAACCAAGGAACATTTATGAATGAATGAAAATACAGAGCATTCTTACCATAGAAAGTACTGAAAACATGCAGCAGGTGACCAGGTTCCTGAGTCCAGTCGGCAACTACATAGTAAGACAGAAATGAGAGCTTGAGTGAGGACAGAGGCTGTGGGTACCAGGAGCCCAGGTGTCCTGAGGTCGTCCCCACGACCTGCCATGTGTGTATCACAGAACTCTTCCCCTCCTCAGGGCCTACCTCAGGAACTCGTCACCACATGCAGTGTACTTTTGCCTACTGGCTTCCGAACATGGGGCACAACCACAGCAGCAGCTGAACTGGCACTGGCACCAGGCATGTATTTGCACACAGCTGCCCTAAAATGCACATGCCCTTGGGAAATGCCTATGTGGGATTATCTCAGGACTCACACCTTTTGCAAGTGCTGGTGCAGAGCACATCCCAGTACCAATGCCTCGCTCCACCTTGCAGCTGACCAATGGCAATGCTAGGCTGAACCATGGCAGCACTGTACCTTTGTGCTAGATTGTGGTGGCATATCTGGGTGCCATCAGTTGCGGAGGAACTCCTCTGGTTTTCAGGGCAATATGGTCACAGGCTGACTCTGTGAGTTTGGCTGCTGGCATTCAGCTGATATCTAGTTAGTAAAAACCAGTGCGCAAAAGGACAGATGTTAAAAAAAAAACCCACGGAGTTTAAATATTGTTACAATAGTGCTCCTCACCATTGAAAGCATCAACGGTGTTACATTCACTGACACACAGAGGCAGTGAAGATCTGTCTGCCAGGGCTCCAGGTAGGACCTTAGTCTGTCTCCTCGTGGAGGGGAGGAGCTATGGGGGCAGCTCAGAGGCACTATGACAGCAGAGCCAGACAGCAAAGAACAACCCTCTATTTCGTCTTCAGCACTTATAAATCACAATGTAGCTGGGTGGGTGGCAAAAGTCAGCAATTCTAGTTGAAACAGAAGGTGAAGCAGTAGGATGACAAGTTCAAGCCCCTACTGGGCAAATTTCTAAGATCTTGTCTCAAAATAATAATAATAATACAAATAAATAAATAAAATAGTAAGGTACAAGAATTAGGAATGTAACTCATGGTGGCTTGTGTGACAATCTGACTTAAATTCTGAGCACTGGAAATGGAAAGAATTCCTGGCTCCTTCCTTAGATGAAAAGGACAAAAAGAGAGAAACACAAGGTCTGGTTTATGGCCTAAGAGTGCTGCTTCGGTGGTAAAATATTGCAAAGCCATAAAACTAAAACCATGCCTAGGACTGTCACCCTCACATTTAGGGTTATCTTCTTTCTGGGACCAGTGGGTTCTGAAAGAAGCAGCTGAGAATTTGAAATCTGGACAGAGATTCTGACTAGTTTAGGGGTCAGTGGACAGGAGAATGTGGCCCCATCCTTGGATTCATGGCAAACCTGGATTTTGGTGGGATAATTTAAACTGGAAGTAGACCACTCCTGAGGAGCTTCATGAAATTCACGTCAGGTTCTAACATTACATTTTTATGAGTCAGCATTTATTAGTGGTACCAAAGCGAGCTAAGTTAAGAAAAATCAACTTCCAGGTGATATTCGAGGGCCCAAAGTATAATTGCTTATGGATTATACCCAGGAGGCATAGAAATTATCTGTGTATCTAAGAAGACAACAATTTTTTGTGAGATAAAAAATTTCATTTATGATATCAGTATGATATCAGTGGCTGTGATATCAGTATGTAGGGCAGTCTAGCTTCCAACTTAAAATCTGTCTGCCTCAGCCTCTCAAGTGCTAAGAACACAGGGGTATATCACCACATTTGGTGAAGACAACACTAAGAAGTCAAGACAAACAAATTAGGTTTTCATTACACGTTGTATGGGTGACCTATTCACCCATCCTGAAACACTCTGCTTTCGTGGGTCATGAGAGGTAGCTCCAGTCACTTGCCAATGTGAGGTCCAATTCTCAGGGTCTCAGTGTCTGCAGGGCCAGTGGCACATGGCTCTCCTTGCCTAGCCTGTGATCCTGCACAGTAGGAGGCCCGGCTTCACTCCACAACCTGGGGGTATTCACCATGTACCTCTCTAGCATATTGGGTCTTCTGAGGGCAGAGCAGTCAGCATTGCAGATATGACCTACAGCAGAACTTTGTTTTACATGCACACAACCCAGAACTCAAAATCAGCTAGATGTGGTGGTACATAACTAAAAATCCAAGGTGAGGCAGGAGAGGGCCAGTGCGGGAAACTTCACAAGAACTGCCTGTTCCAGGTACATGTGAGTGCCCACATGGCTTCAGTCCCCAGTACTGAAATCATTCAATCAGATACCTAAGGTACCCAATAAATTGTGGTGGTCATGTATTAGGTGACATGGGTGACCAAGAAATCCAAAAGCATTATCCAAGAGAAACAATGCTCCTCCATATTGGTAAAAGACTTCACTCTGCTCCACTTCTACATCACAAAGAAAAGCAAACCTTAGCAACCCAGAGCACTGTTACCCATCCCTTGCAGAAGGACAGTGAATGAGGTTCGGCTCTATGTCTCTGCCTCTGTCTGTCACATGTCTAGGTTAGAGCTGTGGATACATCAGGACCCTAGTCTGTGACCATCCTAACACAAACATGGTCACTCAGATACAAAAAGGATTCATTCCACTATGGGCACTGACTGAAGGCTCCAGTCCCTAATGCCAGTTTACCAAGGACTTCCTTGCAGGGTGACTTAGGACATGGCTGGTGGTGTCCCTGTGAGTGAGGAAGAAAGGATACATGCAAGACACAAGTAAGGCCTCTTTTAATCTTCTCTCTCAAGTGACTTCCTATCATTTTGCTGTGTTCTGTTTGCAACCTCAGCTCACCCAGGGCAGGAGATCAATAAGAAGTGGGCATCACCAGTGTCACAGGAAAGCCTCCCACCTCCAGGGTGTAGGACCTGACAACATGGCCTCATGTTGTTAGGGGCACAAGGGAGACATCTGTCATGCCTATATCATGCAACACAAAGGGCTTCACTCCTGGGCTAAGCACTTAAAACACAGGGAGTCAAGCCTTTTCCCTGACACACACACATAGTGCCAGGACACCCTGGCATCTGGCACAACAGTCTTGCCACCTGCTCTGAACCAGGTACAATTAGCATGGCTTCACTGCAACAGCAAGACAGCTGGTGGCCACGTAAGACACTGTCTATTTCCATACAGTCCATCTAGACACTGCAGGCTCTCAACTACCTTACTTCTCCACACTCCTTTACATATTAAAAAAAAATCCAAAGAAAATTTCCTGGAAGAATGAACGAATACAATGAATGGAATGATGAAAGGGAAACTCTGGGCATGCTGGACCCACTTGTTAAAGGAAGCACCAAAAGCCCTGAGCAGGGAGAGTGCTCTGAGTCCCACCCCACATCTGTAGAGCAAGAGAGACGCTACACATGGTGTTTACCCCATGCATCTGGAGCCTAGGACATCTCTGATCCTGTGCACTGGAGGTCAGGAAGTCACTACAGGGGCCAAAGCGCTGCTGAGTGTCTGAGCACTCACACGCTGCGGTCACAGCCTACTGTACACGCAGCACTGCCTACATTCGCGGGCTCCTCAAAGGCCTTCACTGTACACCTGCATCCAAAGCAGGCCACTAACAGCCTAACCAGGGCCCTCACTTCAGGTTGACATCAGTCCCACCTTCAGTCAACGGGCATATCCCACTGGGGGAGAACTGCCTCGCATCTTCCAACCGACCCATGGCAAGCGGCTGCCAGACAGAGGTTGAGCAAAACTGGTTTGAGCCCATGGCTTCCACTCTTGGGAGTCCTGCTTTACTTGGCAAAGCAGTGGTTTCATGGGCAATGTGTCATTAGGTAGAACCTGGCCAGAACAAAAGGGACAAGCTCCTGGCCAAAGAGAGGGAGGGCTGTCGCTGTTGGTGTCCTGCTGCTACCTAGTTTTTAAACCAGGGTGCAAAGAGTGCTGGTTCAAAGGAAAACAAAGTACCAATTGTTATGGAAGCACTGGTCACCATTTAAAACATCCAGAGTGTTAGGAACACTACACAAAGACAGTGAAGCTGTATCTACCAGGGCTGCAAGCAGCTCAGGTGAGAGGTTTCCCAGGGGTCGGGGTGGGCAATGGAGTGGCCTGACACGTTCAAGGCTAAAGTCAGCTCAAATGCCAAAGCCAAAACCGACGTTCTGTGCAGTCCTTCGGTTGTTACAAATAATAACTTGTCTTACGCGGTGATACACGCCTGTTAATCCTAGCTACTTGAGAGGCTTGAGGCAGGAGGATTGCAAGTTGGGGCCCAAACAGTTGGGCAAGTTAGTAGAATTCTGTTTCAAAAATAATAGAAATAAGCAGATAACTAAATTAAAGGGCTAGGGTTGTAGTTCAGCTTGATTGGCATGTGTGAGGTCCTG